TGGTAGCTTTTGCAAAGTTGCTTGACAGATCCACTTTAACATCCTTGCTCTAAATTGTGCATGTTCATATTCCAGAGTGAAGAGATAGGTTTTTCACCCAGCAATGATTTTGACTCGTAGTACAAATGTAATTCAAATAGAAGGCATGAAACACAAGGGGGAGAGTGGCATCTAGTAAAGAACTTACTTCAGCACAGTGCTGGCAAACTCTTTATTTGGGATCACTTACACAGATGGTATCTTAGAAATGGGCTCTAGTCCTTATTGCACCCTTCAAAAACCAGATCAACAAGTTTCAGAGACAGCCTGAAAGGGAAAGCCAACCTTTCAATTTCCTTGGCAACAGTTAAAACACATTTGTCTATGGCCATTTTTTTTTTCTACGGCTTTTATTTCATAGAATCCCACTGGGACTGAAAGCGTTTTCCGAATATTTGAATTTGACCAGGATTTGAATTCACTATCTGGCCTCTGCTTAAATAGAAGGCCCTTTAAAGCCAAAAGTTCTTTTGTTTAAAGTCTGAAGAGAAGATTTTACATTGCAAAAATACTTGCACATGTATGTAGAGTAGACTAAGGTTACCCTGTGTATCCCTTCCCTAAAAGAATATCTGTTACCCTATTGTTCATGCTCAAAAGTTAAATAGGGGACAGGTAAGTAAATGCAAAATTGCAATATACCTAAATACAATTATACTTCCCCATCCCTCAATAAATTTTGTACCTTTGGGATTTGGGTCATGCATTATTCATTCTGTTTCTGGAGAATTATGCTTTATTAGAATTTTTTTTATTATTTAATGATTATATACGTATTATAGTTTGTGCGATTTTGTAATGTGACATTGCACATTTTGAATGCATTTTCCATGCTACTGTGTTTTTTTTGTAAGGGAGAGAGACTGCTCACTTCACTTAGCAGTGGTATTTCTACCACTGCTAATGTGACAGTTGGGATGCTGGTTGCTAAGGAGCTGGCACCCTCCGGCGTCCTAACAACCAGAGACTCTTCCCTACATTCCCAGCTGGCAGGTAAATGTAAACAAAGTAGCAGGAATGTTTAAAACAATAAAACAAACAAACAGTGTAGGGACTCCCCTATAATCCTTAACAGGCCCTTCAGGTCTAGTATAAATGTTAAAGGAGACCCAACCCCCCCCCCCCCCAAAAAAAAAATGCATGAGGTCCTCCCAAAAATCTATATCAAACCCCAATCTGAGCATGCAGCCAGGAAAAGAGGGGACAAGCGTGAACCATACCAAGCCACATACCATATTTTGTTAATAAATATGGGTACTACTGTATGTACCCCTTACACATTCACATGGGGGGGCGGTATCTGGGGGTCTTCTTATTGTTAAAGGGGGCTTCCATATTCAGATAAGTCTCACACCCGAGGACTCCCACAACCCAGGATTGTGGGGAAGAGGCCCTTGTCCTCATCAACAAGAGGATAAGGCACTTGCCAGTGTGTGGGGCGGGGGGAGGGTCATCTCCTCTGACACAGTACCCCCCTTTTAATGGCCTGGTAGGTTTCATGGGGGGTGCACAGTGATTCCCCCCCCCCCTTTTTCCTGGCCTTCCATACATGGGTCCATTTTTTTGTTCATCTAGCCTATCGAAAATATCTTACCCGATTCCCCCATCCACACATGCAGTGTCGATGTGCGAATCCTCTCTGCTGTCTTGGTAAACTGGACTGGAAGACTCTCCGCTGTCAGAATTCACTGGAACTGAAATTTTCCAGCAGTCCCATTTGTGAGAGGTCCTTCGATAGATTCCTTTTTCCTGCTCTTGCTGAACTGGCCAAAAAAAAAAATCAGGCTTTAGTACTGCTGTGCTGACTAATGTATGGTCATATGAGTCGGTTGAATTTCATGTATGTGTCCAGCATGTCACACTCTGGACCACACCCTACTATATGTATTGTACCCTTAAAGTAGAATTGAAGGTAAAACTTATATTTTCATTTTGAAACACCTGTCAGATTTTTTTGTTTTTCTTTCTGTGTCCCATTGGGAAGATTTACCTTCACTTCCTGTCTCACAGCCACTACAGGAAGTGAGGGGAAAATTTTGGTATTCATCAGAACTAGTGTCCACATTGGGGAAGATATCCCATTATTCCTGTTCTGATAACTCAAAATTTGTGGTTTTCTCCCAATTGGCGACATGTCAATAGGAGAAATAGGGTGAATCTCCAGAATGGCGACATAGACAGCAATAAATACTTGACAGGTGTTCTAATCCCTCTCCATTCAAAACAACAAAAAAAAGTTTTGTCTTCGAGTTATACTTTAAGGCTTAAAATACACTATATCAGTGGTCCCCAAACTGCGGCCATTTGCTTGCCTCTATCTGGCCCTTGGAGCACTATTTCTCCCACTGATACAAGGCACCTTTCCTCCCACTGACCCCAATGAAAGGACACTATTTCTCCCACTAATACCAAGGATATGGGACATCGATTACGCCCACTGACACCGGGCATTTTCAACTCTCACGAGCCACAGTCCGGCCCCCCTAATATTTGAAGGACAAAAAATTGGCCCTTTGTCTAGAAAGATTGGAGGCCCCTGAACTATTTAATCCGATGTACAATATCCATTAGATATACCATCCACTATGTAGTGCAAGTACCTGAATGATTTGATACTAATAATCAATTATTTAGCTTTGATAACATAGTACATAGGTTGGTAACTTTAAAGGATATTGTGCAATCAGGTTTTATAGCTTATTGCCAGCTTAAGACCCCAATGTAAACAAACGGAAAAGAGTCTTCCCAACAAAACTGACTTAGGGGTGAAATTAAAATGGTGAAACACAGTTGGGAGCTGTCACAGCATCTTTCTATGTAGACAGAGGTGATTAATAACATGAACTGAACTTTTCACACTCTGATCCTGGTTGGAATTTGGCTGGAGAAGGAGCAATAAGGAGGCTATGTTGTATGGGAATGCTGCAAGAATACTGCTCTATAAACTTCATGTTGATTTTTAATATCTGACTGTTCTGTGCACACAGCATAATCCCACTTCTGCTGCATGTGGTATATCATTCTCAGTATTCAATTTTATTAATTGTATTGTGGGATGAACACATCACAGTAGCACTTCCTTCATTTTATAGTCTAATTAATGGTTTTACACAATATTTGCAAACTACAAACTGAACTGAAAATGAAATGTGTGAATCTTGGGTAACAAAATAGATATATTGACCCATTAATGTATGTATTACCATTAAATTATATTCTAGATGCATGCAGGCTGCATTGGAGTTCCTGTGCTCTTTTATATACTGTACATAATTCTGTGCATTATTTTTATTTTGTTTTTACAGATGCCGACTTCCTTTGTGTGAAATGCTGAATATTCAGTAATTTCATTAATCCAATTTACAAGGATTACATGGGCTAAGGATTACAAGGAATACACTTGCCAGTTAGGCCTTATTGTTCATTAATGTAAAAGCATAGGATAAAACTGTACAAAAGTCAAATATTGAGGTCATATGTGAACCTGCTGGTTTAAAAACAACTATCACCTAAAAAACTAACTCCAGTAAAATGATTTACCTAGATGCTTTATTGAAGAGACCCTGTCACGTTACCAAATAAAGTCTGCTGAAAAAATTATTGCACTTCAGCAGCCTATATCTCCTACCTTCTCTCCATTCCTGTGCTGCACTCCCTGTATGACCCTTTGGTATTAGGGATTTTTGGATGACAATTTTCCCTGCAGAGTTCTGCGATTCCATCTTCCAACCCTACAGGACTTAGAAGCGACACAGGAGTTGGAAGATGGAACCACAAGGTGTGGGGTGGGCATCTGACATTTCCGTAAGTGTTGAATGTAGAAGACGCTTATGGAGGCTTCAGCAAAAAATGGAGGCACAGGCTGTTAGACAGGTGAGAATAATACCTCTTCTACTTCAGGAAGGAGTCTTTCAGCAGTTTTTTTTTTTTTATTTATTTATTACAGGTACTTATATAGCGCCATCAATTTTGCTTTACATTATAGATTGCACATCCACATCAGTCCCTGCCCTCAAGGAGCTTACAATCTGAGATCCCTAAATCACATTCATACATATACTAGGGCCAATTTAGACAGGAGCCAGTTAACCTACCAGCATGTCTTTGAATTGTGGGAGGAAAGCGGAGCACCTGCACTTATGCAGGCACAGGGAGAACATGCAAATGCATCTTTGTCTCTTCAGTAAGAGTTCTCTATAGGTGATGGCTTGTTTATTGCATCCCTTCTCAGGTGCATCCCTTCCCAGGTGACACCAAGTGAAATATCGTTTAAAATTTTCAACATCAAGGTTCTTTTATGAAACCAACATTGGTTTTTAATTTACAAACAAAAGATTTTTTTTGGTCTGTCCTGGTTTTATTCTATAAACCTAGTCTTTTTTCCAACAACAAATCACTATAGTGTTCAAATAAAAATGGAGAAGGAATGGAAAAAAAAAGCTTTATTCACAATTTTCTGTACAATGACTAATAAGCAGATACATAACAAAATAAATGAAAAAGTTACTGTAGTATCAATAGTGTGTATAAATATTTATACACATACTGCATATGTAGTGAAAATTGAAATACTTTTCTTTTTTAATTTATTTTCTTTTTTTAACAAAAAGGTACCATGTTTTCTAAATATGATTTCTAACTATAATGTTTCCTGCTGCAAGGACCCAGGGAACAACCTGCTCAACTTGCAGTATATCAAAACAAACCATCCTTACTGGAGATGTGTACCGAAAAACAATTATATAGAGCCATAGCAGAGTTTTGCTCATATGTCCTCACTGTTGGTCACCCTGTGACTGGCTGTCTGATGCCTCACTGAGTGCTCTGGAGGTAGCTGGAAGATAAAGCTGTCATTCAGGTTCTTACATGGCCTTGTATATACTGAGCTGTAGTTTGACAAGTATTCATGTGGTCCAGTTTGCGTTTAGATAATTATATGGTTCTGAAGAGTTTTTAGTGAATTAGCAAGCATTTGGATTATCAGAGATTTTCAAGTCATCTGCACCAGGGCTTTCCAAATCTGGGGGAAATTGCTTTTCAGCCATATTTGCAGATTCCGAGCTCAGAGGGTCTTCGGGCTCTAATACTGTCCTCTCTGTATTTGAGCATGTCTGTTCCTCTGTGGCATCTAATGTGCCCTTCTCTGTGCCCACTTGCTGCTGTTCTTCTGTAGAATGGCATTCTTGACTTACGTTAGCTTCTTCTTTCTCACTGTGCTGTTCCAATACCGGCTCTGATCCACTGGGAGCTAGGACCAGAGGAGGATTTGGAAGGTCTTTCTGCTGAAAAACAAGCAAGTGTCATTACCAGCGTATAATGTAGATAGTGGTACAAAATGCACAACATTAATTTTAAGCAGGTGTGAAAAGGTGAGCCATTATAAAAAGACAGAAAAATACATAGATAACATGAAACATAAAAACAAAAATGCTGAAACAGCAGAAGCTGATTAGTAGCATATTGTAAACCTCTAGGGTTACTCATACTAGAAATACAAATACATTTGTAGCCTGTGAACATTTCTTATACGCTCCTACACACTTGAACCACCACCCTTTTTGGTAAGGCTGATCAAATTGAAACAGTACTTCCCTCAGCAAAGGCTTTTTTAACATCCATTGGGTGCGGCATTCACCTACAAACCTGTAATATTAAAAAAATAAACTAAAGGGAAAATGTTTTTCCCCCATTTTGGATACAGTAAGGGAGGGTTATAAACCCTGTCAGTTTTTTCCTGTATCCAATTCGAGAGATTTTCCTTCACTTCCTGTCCCATAGCCAAAACATGAAGTGAGAGGAAATCTTTCCAAAGTGAGGGATTCCTGGGGTGTCACCAGAACTAGTGTCCCCACTTCTGGTTTTGGTAATAACAGTAAACAAGAGAGGTTGAATCTCCCCACCATCAGGTGTTCTAATCCCTCTCCACTCTATCCAAACTAAAAAATGTTTTGCCTCCTGTTATACTTTAAATTTGACATTAGCAAGAAAGGACTTCCTTTAGAAGGCAATTAATTACACAAGTACTTAAGGAAGCACTAGCTTAAAGGGGAGCTACAGCCGTTTGTGACAGATTCATTTTTTTTATTTTTTTTTTTACAGACATGGGACAGAATGTAAAAAGGGCTAAAAGTTCATTACAGGGTCTGAGTCACCAACGTTTAAAAGAGAAGTATGAACTTTAGTTAAAATAACAGAAAAAAAAAAAAAAAGCAACATTTATACTCACTGAGGAAGATGCAGAGTTGATCCAAAACTGCATCTGTCCCCCGCTGGCTTTGCAGTGATCACTGATTGCTCAGTTCTCCCCTCCGCTCTGAGCAGAGAGCCCTGAATGTCAGTCACCAACTCTCTGCTCTGCCCCTCCAGCACTCACTGGAGTGCTAGGCTGTGGAGGGGATGGAAGAGGCTGGCTCAGGCTCTCAGAAGCTGCACCAGGTGACTGTCTAGGCTTCTGGGTGCATCCCGACCACATGGTCAAGTTCTTTTCAGAGCCTGGACCAGCTCAGTGATGTCAACCGAAAGCGGATTTTAGATTGCTGTTGGCTGAAAACTGGTCACAGAACTGCAGAACAAACTACACTCCTATGATCCCCAGGAGAAGTATAGCCAAAAAAACCTTTGGCTGTACTTCTTTAAAGGATGGTGAACTTTAAACATCATGTGCAGGGTAATTTGATGGCAAAAATATTATTCTATATATGAATAAATGTATGAAATTAACACAGATACACTTCATACAACACTAAATCATGCTTTAAAATATAGATAGTGTCAGATAGGTTAATAATAAAAGCTTGATTATTGATGAAGATGTGTCACCATTCATCTGAGTGGTGAAACATTTTCAACAATACAATAATAAATCCATTTAAATATACCTAATACGAACTATGCCATGAGCTGGATAAACTAGTGTGTTTTTCAGCAGGAGGCAGCAGAGTACTATTAAACTCATTGTAGCCTCAGGAACTGGGGAAATTGTATAAAAATTTATTTTCTAGCACCTAGGAATTTCTGATTTTAAATAACTGACAATATTCCCAAAATTAATTGGCTCAACAACAAAGTGTAAGAGCTAATCAACTCCTTAAACATTATGAGATCCTGCATTTGAAAGACACTTAGAAAATATCAGTCATCTACCAAGCAACTAAAAAAAAAACACTGACAAAAAATGACAAAATGCACTGTGATTGAACCCTGGGAGTTTTGTATGTGTATTTATATATTTTGTTTCTAAAGCCTGGTACACACAGGCAGTTTTCTTTCATTCAACCCAGTGGGCTGAATTAATAAAAAATTGATGAGTTTGCAAGGAGCTTGCTGTACTAACTATGCACTGTTTGTGCAGAGATCTTCCCACAGAGCTATTGTGTTCTGAAAAGGTGACCAACCCCCTACCAGAGCACACAGGTCAGCACTCGCAGCCTTTGGCTGCAAGCACTGATTTTATGCTGATCAGCTGCTGGTTTTCCAGCATGCTCTTTTGACAGAAGCTGGACAGGCTGCTGTACACACTGGGCAAATGCCGGCCGGTGTCTGTTAAACTGGCTGATATTCAGCCTGTGTGTACCAGCCTTTAAGGTAAGCAAGCAGAATTTTGGCATCACAGCAGGAGACCTAACATCGTTAATGAACAGCTGTCATGCAGCAAAACACCCATGTAATCAGGCTGTCTCAAATATAGCCAAGTCCTGACAGTCACTGCACATGTGCCGTACACTGGTGCTTTGCTTATAGACAGATTCAATTTAACAAGAGTGAACACACACAAGCGGTAACATTTAACAAATATGATCCTATTGTGTTAATTCTGCAAGGGGTTACTCAACTTTATCTGATTTAGTGTTTAAAACATTAGTATTTCTTGAAGACAGTCATATCAAACAGGTATTCACCACAAAGCCGCTGCCCGTCCAAAACATAGGTAGTTCCTTTCGCCAAAGGGCCACAGTCAGACTTGTAAGCAGTGTGCAGGGGACTAAATAGAGAAGAGCAGGCTGGCCCCTCTGCATCAGGGCAAGTGCCACAAAAGTCACCAAGAGACCAATACCATAGGCTGCAAAAAGAGGCAAAAAGAGAACACGTAAATATATAAGAAAATCTAAAGCTAACATGATAAGGTAACATGTTAGAACATTTTAGAAATTGCATCTATGGGGCTGAAAGACAAAGTACCCACAAAGGGTCCCGGAATTGGGTAGCTGATAGGTGCAAAGATTGCTAGCAGCCAGTAAACTGCTGCATTTGGCCCTTTAAATAACTGCAATTTCAAACAAAATGCATTTATTCTTTTCTCCACCCCTCCCCTCCTCCAGCCTAACAGACATCACTCTTCCCAGAAACATACTTACCTCAACCTCAAGACTGCATGCTTTGGCATTCATTTAGATTTCTTGGTAAAAATTTTCTATGAACTCACAGGTAAACTTGACATATTGCAGGGAGGGGGTTGGGCTAGAGCAGGGGTTGGCAAACTTTTTGACTTGAGGGCCACAATGGGTTCATATATTGGACCCGGGGGCCGGCCCAAGAGTAGATGAATGATGTGTATGTGTCATCCATAGTAAGTATAGTAATATTCCCTCATAGTAAGCATAGTAATTAATCCCCATATAGTAATTCATCCCCCCTATAGTAATTCATCCCCCCTATAGTAATTCATCCCCCATAGTAATTCATCCCCCATATAGTAATTCATCCCCCATAGTAATTCATCCCCCATATAGTAATTCATCCCCCCTATAGTAATTCATCCCCCCATAGTAATACATTCCCCATATTAATTCATTCCCCATATTAATTCATCCCCCATATTAATTCATATGTCAATTCACTTACCTTTGCTCCGTGCGTTCTTCTCGCCGTGTTCCCGCGCCGTTCCGGTCTTCAGGGCGGACTGTGAGAGGAGCCTAGCTCCCCTCACGTTCGTCACGCTGCCCCGCCTACACACATCCTGACAGCCATCCTGACAGTATCACGCTCCACGGGCCGGATTAAAAGGTCTGCCGGGCGTAGTTTGCCCATTGCTGGGCTAGAGTCTGCTTTCGGTCAGCACTAGCAAGTTCCGTTTTCACTCAGTATAGTGAGTATAAGCATAGTGAGATGGACATAAGAGAAACATACCTATGGTACATGCTAGAAAGTAGATCCTTGAAGACTGAATCTGAATGTCAAATCTGTGACAGTAAGCTACCAGAAGCCCTGCACAAAGAAAAAGAATACATAGAACATATTTGTATGCAAAGCTAAACATTCATTCTTATTTCCTTAATTGGCAATCACTTTTAAATCATTTAATAATTGCTGTCAGTTTGTTGGTTCTCAAACAAGGACACACTTGTGCATGAAAAATGTGGAAAGCATGCAATGCCTCCCACAAACCATGTGATGCACTATGTCATAGTTATTCAAATTTTTTCTTATATTTTCTGCACTTGTAATTCTCAAATACGAAAACTGGTTCACAAACTGCCTTTAGCATTGGAAAGTCCACAGTTTGTGATGCCCTCTTAGGTACACCAAATGTTAGATCTCCATATGCACAGCTTGAACCTAGGATCTAAGGGATTTCAATTTGAAGAATAACACAGATACTTGGCACCTGCAGTTCAGCACTTGTATTACCTTAGAAACTGTTTGGTTGTGGATTTCACTTTAAAAGATACACAATGTTTTACCATTCTTGATTTGACTATGCTAGTTTGACTGTATATTAAAGGAAACCTACTAGCTACTTGACGAAAGTGTGGTGAAGTCATTTCCAGTGCGGCGACAATCGTCGCCATCTTGGTGTACCCGTTTGATATGCTGTATGAGGGTTTTAGCTCTTATGTCTTATGTGAGTGCGGGTTTATTATTATTCATTTTTATTCAATAAAATTGGTTGCACTATGAGAAACCCCTTTCTTTTATATTTGAGTACACCCCTAAGCCAGAGACCTATTAATCCCACCAGCCCCGACCTGCACAGGATTTTGGATTTTGGTTTGAGTGCTTCTTGACCTGTTACTTATACGTCAACGTTTGGAAGTGAGCATGCATGCTGGGTGATGGTAGACACAGCGGTGTACCAAGGGGAAGATTCACTTTGAACCTTTTTTTTGGGACTTATTATGATTACCACTGTGGACTGTCACTTTATATTCTACTGAATATTATCTTTTGAAATTTCACTTTATTCATCCACTTTTGGTTTATTTCACCTATATGTGAGTTACAACATATTGTGTTTGTAATATACAGTTATATTTATTTTTTCACACGTCTTATACTAGATGGTCGGCTGGGTGTTTATCAGTTGAATGTCTCACTGTACACTTGTGCATTTTGTATTGCTGTATGTTTTAGGTTTATACATTTATACTTACTGATTTTGTGGGTTATTGCATAATTTAGGTTTGTTTATTAAGCTCTATTAATTATACACTTTGGTGAATTGTTTGTGATATAGTTTACATTGGTATATGCCCTAATATAGAGGCAGGTGGGCCATTTATTTATTCAGCCACTTATTAATTGATTGTTATGTACTTTACTTAGGTTGAGACTTACGGCGCAGAACTATTAATTTATTGTTATGATTTTCCTTTTGAGTGGTGGAACACTTTTGGTGCTTGCAGCTTTAGTATAGTTAAATATTTTTTTTGGCAGCGTATAAGACTCCTTCCTTTAAGCTGGTCATAGATGGATTGAAATTTGTCCATTTCAGCAGGAACCAGACAAATTTTGATTTATCTATGGCCATTCTTGTTTGTGAGAAGTAGGTCTAATGATTGATTTCTCACAAACTGGCTTCCAGGAAAATATTTGTTTGAGCAGTGCTGCAGCTGATTAGTGTATTCTGACATTAGAGGAGTCCCCGCTGTCAGAACACAATCCTATAGAGAATGGAGGAATCCATTCAGTTTTTTTGATCAGCCCGCTGGCTGATCAAAAAAAAAAAAAAAGACGATTCATGTATGGCCAGCTTTGCATATGGAATTTAAGTGCTTGGGTCTGATGATAATAATTGAATTTTAAAATCTGTCCTATGGTCTGACATTAATGGGGGCTTCATGATGCATCTGTAAAAACTATCATATTTAAAGATAAATAAAATCTTTTTTCTTTTATTTTTGCACTTTTGTGTATTTCAATGTTTCTTTCACAGAATGCCTGTAAAGTAAAATGCTTCTGTAGAAGGACAACAAATTTCATGTGTGGTCACAAGAGCAGCTTGAAATTCACAAATCCATTTCATCAGGATAAGCAGTTTTTTTCTAGGACATCCAAGCCTATGATAACTACAAAAGTGCACTCAAGTAAACCTGTCATGAGAGAAGTACAGAGGCTGCCACTATGGACCTCCTCTTGAAATTGTTAGCTCACGGACTGTTTTTTTTTTAAAAATATATATTTTTTATATATAACTGTATTACATTTGACTTTTCATCTAATATCATGGACAATAAATTGGACAGAAAATAAAATTGAATATATATCAAATTAAAAAACTTAAATATGCTGCAAAAAAAACAACAAAAAACCCCACAACCATTATTGGCACCTTTTTTTTTTCTATCAGCAAAATGCCAATGCTCCTATTTTCGGGCCAATAATTTTCAGCATCTGATATATCGGTGCATCACTAGCCTTAACGATATGACCAATGAAAGGTAAAGTGAATAACATTGATTATCTTGTTGCAATGGCACCCAAAAATGGGTGGGATATATTAGGCAGCAAGTGAACATTATGTCCCTGAAGTTGATTTGTTGAAAGCAGAGAATATTGGCAAGTGTAAAGATTTGAGTGACTTGAAAAGGACCAAATTGTAACGGCTAGATAGCTGGGTCAGAGCAACTTCAAAACTGCAGCTCTTGTGAGATATTCCTGGTCTGTGGTGGACAGGACTGACCAAAATGGACCAAGGAAAGAAAAACAAGTGAATCGGCGACAGGGTCATGGACGACCAAGACTCATTGATGCACATGGGGAGCGAAAGCTTACCTGTGTTGTCAATTCCAATAGAAAGGTACCTATAGCTCAAGTTGCTGAGAAAGTTAATGCTGGTTCTGACAGAAAGGTGTCAGAACACATAGTGCATTGCGGTTTGTTGCGTTTGGTACTGGGTTGAAACAGAATGGTCAGGGTGCCCATGCTAACCTGTGTCCAAAAGAACCAACAATGAGCATGTGAGCATCAGAACTATACCACGGAGCAATGGAAGAATGTGTCTTCAAGGTGTTGACTTGGCCTCCAAATTCAAAGTCAGATTCATGGAGGCCCTAACTCACAACTTACAGAACGTACAGGATCTGCTACTGATGGCTTGGTGGCAGATAACACAGCATGCCTTCAGAGGTCTAATGGTATCCATGCCTCGACAGGTCAGCACTGTTTGGTTGGCAAAAGTGGAACCTACTCAATATTCAATGGTTGATCATGTTACAGTGGGTGTTCATAATGTTATGGCAGATCGGTGTAGGTGTATATGTGTTCTTGTTCCAGATCAGTAGCTCAATGTAGTGAAAAAGAAATCCAGTCAGCATGATAGCTAACGTTTTGTAGTTTTTTTTTGGAGCGTTTTGTCAGCAGAAAAGGGCTAAACGTTCCTAAACACTCCTAAAACACTCCTAACAGCTTTTTTTTCCCTCTACATGTACTATAAAAACACTAATAAAATACTAATGCTCCTAATGTGCATGGAGCCTTAATACATATTTTATATAACAACCTGAAAAAAAACCCAGTGGTTTTAGAACATCCTGTACCCAAACGCCTGTTGTATGATATATTTTAGCTGTATTCCCAACTAGTCTATATACTTTGGCTAGAATATATTGTAGGACATAAAGCAGTAATAGCATATGTAGAGGCTACATATATTTATAAGAAGCCATTTCATTACCATTGGTTCCTTATTGTTTAATAGTTTTCAATATTTTGTGGTCTCCTTTTATTTTCTTGAATTCAAAATGGCATGACAACAAAATTGATGATTTGGGTAACCTCCTTACCTGGTACCAAAATGTCTCCGAAGCCCAAGAGAGAGAATGGCCTGTCACACAGGGCCAGGGGTGAAGAGTTTAATCTTGGAACTTTAAGAACCATTGGGAGCTAAAAGATAATGAAAAAAGACAAAGTGGTTACAGGAGGTTGGAGGGAGAAAGGTTAAGCTCAACTTTTATAGGACAAGCAAAGATTTGTATCCAAATTTATTTATTATTATTATACAGGATTATATAGTGCCGACAGCTTGCTCAGCGTTTTACATTATGGTGGGAGACAGTACACGAGACAGTACAGTAACAATACGATTCAATACACGAGGGGTTCGAGGGCCCTGCTCCTTGCAGCTTACAATCTAGGAGGGAGGGGATAGTGGTACAGGAGGAAATAGCTGTGGGGGATGGAGTGGTAGGAAGAGTAGAGCAGTTCAATATTAGCTGAGGGCGGGGTAGGCTTCCCTGAAGAGATAGGTTTTCAGAGCGCGCCTAAAGGTGAGCAGAGTAGGTGATAGTCTGATGGATTGGGGTAGGGAGTTCCAGAGGATGGGGGAAGCCTTGGAAAAGTCCTGGAGACGAGCATGGGAGGAGGAGATAAGGGAGCTAGAGAGTAGGAGGTCTTGTGAGGAGTTGAGAGTACGATTTGGGTGATATTTGGAGACAAGATGGGTGATGTAGTTTGGGGCAGTGTTATGAACGGCTTTATACGTCAGTGTTAGCGTTTTGAATTTTATCTGTTGGGCAATTTACAGGTACTTATATAGAACCATCAATTTATGCAGCACTTTACATATATATTATACATTCACATCAGTCCTTAACCCTCAAGGGGTGTACAATCTAAGGTAACTAACTCACATTCATACATACACATACTAGGGCCAATTCAGACAGGAGCCATTTACCCTACCAACATGTCTTTGGAGTGTGGGAGGAAACTGGAATACCTGGAGGAAACCCACGCAGGCACAGGGAGAACATGCAATCTCCAGCCTGGTAGCTGGTGGTTGAGACTCGAACCAACAACCCTAGTGCTGCCAGGTGGAAGTGCTACCACTTAGCCACTGTGCTGCGCATATAGGTATGTTTTGTAGAAATAACTTAAAACTGGGTATACACTAGACCAGGGTTTTATGGAGCCCTAGGGTTCGTCCAGAGGTTGCTAGGGGTTCCATGATCAATGAGCAATTTCTGCCTCTTAAATAAGTTCCTACTGATACTATTGATCTTTTTAGCGATCTGTAAGGGGGCAATTATTCCCAATGACCACAAGTGTAAGGAGCATTCTTCATCAACCAGGGTTCCTCCAAAAGGTTGCTAGGGGTTCCTTGAGCAATGAGCAATTTCTGTCTCTCAGATAAGTTCCCACTAATACCACTGTTCTGTTTAGCTACCTATAAGGGGGTAATTCTTGCCAATGCCCACTGACCATCACACTAATGTATCATGATTTGTAGATATAGTCATTTTTAGCAGGGGTTCCATAAACTGGAAGATATTTCAAGGGTTCCTCTGTGTTAAGAGGTTAAGAAAGGCTCCATTAGACTTTCATATGAAATTTGTTGCTTTAAGAAACATTTGTTCAATCTTCATTTTCGACCACAGTGATGAGAAAATTTAAAGAAACAATATGAAAGAATCAAACCGGTAAACAATTAATGTATGTAGTTTTCATTAAAGATATTACATTCAATTCAAAATCAAATGTTAAAAGCAAATGACATTCTTAAGTACTTTGGAACAGCACTTGTCCAGTTACTGAAAAGAAAGTGACAAAGAATTGATCTTATGAATCTTACTAGTGGATAGCCAGCTTTAGAGTTAAAGTAATTGCCACTAAAAGCATAAGGCCTTGTTCACACCATGATGCATAGACGTCAGGTTTTCTGCATGCGTCCTGCAAGTGCACAACAAAATCATTTGTTCTCTATGTGCTCTGTTCACACCACAACACTAGTATCAGGTGCAGATTTTTTTTCTGCACAGGAATTTGCAATGTGTAGAAAACTCATTGTAGCGCACATGAAAACTGATGTAAACTGATGTCTCTGCAAGTGAAATCTGTGTGTCAGTTTCCATCAGTTTTAATGCACATGCGGTGTGAACGAGCCCTTAATCAAGCAGGCAAGGGTTTCAGTTTCCCAATCAACAGATTAGAGAAAAGATGCAGGATCTTAGTGACTTTGTTGCCTAGCTATGTTCAATTTAACATGCACTTGACAACCCCTCAACTACTCTACAACAGTAGTGAACACAAGAGCTTTGATGAACAACTGTAAAATCTATAAAATTCCATAATGCTCTCTGTCAGCATGGACCAAATTTCATAAGGAACATTTTCACTACCCTGTATAGAATTCAGGCTGTTCCAAAAAGAAAGAGGTCTTACCCAGTATCAAATATGGCAACTTAAACATATATATATATACATATATATATATATATATATATATATACACACACACACACATACATATACATACATATATATATACATATATATATATATACACACACACACACACACACACACACACACACACACACACACACACACACATCACACACACACACACACACACACCTAAAAACCTGCAAAGTATGCACAGGCAAACAATTAAAGAAAGTTATACAAATAGGTGAAAAGTAGCTGTGCCGAAGACTCAAGAAATTCTAAAGGTTACATGTGTACATGAGCCTACCTCCAATCCAATATGCAAAAAAAAAAAAAAGGGAAGGGAATCTCACCCCCTCCATTTAGGTGTATCAGAACGAAGAGCAGTTCGGTGTAATTGGACAGTGGATTCCGTTTACTCCCAGCTGTCCATGCAGCACAGCAGTTGTCTGCTCTGCATAAACAGAGCGGACATGGACATGTCATCTGCCCGCTCTGCTCTGATCAGCAGGGGATTAGCGGACAGATCCCCTGCTGATAAAAATGAACTCCCCTGCTGATAGAAATGCTCTGTTTCCTGTTGTTGATGAGATCTCCATTGTATTACCTGTTTATTCACATAATTTTACTTTTGCAAAGGCACACATGCACAATCATTTTAACCAAAAACATGTCTGTAACAGAATCTAATCAAGACTGTGACTGGATTACATTGCTATAGACAAGATGGACAATTCTTACCTTTTCCTGGGTGCTTGAATCTGAGGGGCCAGCAGCAACTTCCACCATGATACTCTCCCCACTCTGCAAATTAAAAACACATATTTCTGAAGGTGGAGTGATGAGATTTATTCAGTGTATGTGCTAATCAAATCATATTAGATCAAATTAATTAGTAATGACAGTTTCATTTAAATTTGCTCACTAGTTCCTCGCTAGAAACCTTACTTCCTGGACAAGTTTCTGACAAAAATAGCAGTCATTACAAAAAGATAGGAGGAAAAGGGTCTAAACCATTTAATTTTTATCAGGGCTGGATTACCTACATGGCAACCTAGGGACCAATGATTATTAGAGTGACCTACCATATTCTGGTTGACTAAGCAGTGTGTTTCAAGTAGAGCTCATAGAGGCTAAATACAGTACATTCATTGATTGTATTTTGCAAGATATCACAGATCAACTAAAAAGAACTCCCTGGAAGACACCAGTGACATAGCCTTCCCACAGGGCAGCTGGGAGGCCATAGTTATGTCATCAGTGCCTAATATCAGGAAGTAAAAAAAAAGTAACTTGACAAATAAAGCTTTAATTGTGTACTTCATATGACTTGATGTTTAGGAATCAGAATGAAGAGCTGCATGCATCAGACAATTTTTGTTTTGGGGGGGAATGTGCACTTTAAGCACCACAATCTCCAGGAGCTAAGCCCCACCACCTGTTAATAAACTAAGAATTGTCAATGCCTCAATGTGAAGATCTTTAAAGAAAACACAGGTAGGTATCATCCCCATGATTACTTTTAAAAAGGTTTGAGTGGTAAATGTTGAAATATGCATTTTAAGGTCTGGTGATTAACAAAACAAAGAAGGACTTTAATGGTTATCAAGGAGGGAATAAATAGCTAAATAGATGCTTGAAATACATCCCAATTGAAGCCTCTGTATTTTTTACTGTAATGCAGTCTGGCTGCATATACAGTAATAAATATGCTGTTCTTCATGTTTAATTTCAATATAATATTAAATACTAAGCAACACAGCATAGGTTAAAAGACACAGTGATAGCTACACGCTAGGGAGTCAGACCACGGTTTGCACATACAAGCAGTGGATCCAGTGTTCCAACGCTCCCCTTGCACAGTGCTTGAACAACAGCACTCACAATCCCCAAGCAATGCTGCTAACTGAAGTACTGTGAAGGGGGAGTCTGAGACCACAGCCATGTGCTGTGTTGATAGCAGAAACAGATGCTGAGAAATGCCATACAGGCATCGCTGGAGTCATGCATTTAGACAGAAAGAGTAGACAGCAAAGGGCCTGCAGGAAAAAATCATTACTGAAATGGATGAAAACAAGCATTTTGAAAGAAAATATGGAAGACTCCCTTCCCCACGCTTAACCCAACCATTGTATAATATAAAGTTATACCTTTGTAATAAATGGAGTGATGAACACGAAAAACACATCGTATATAAAGAGAACGAACAGGAGTAAAGTGCAGCTCTGCAAGGAAATTGAGGGATAATGAAAAATTTAAATTAAAAAAAAAATATTTTAATTAAAGATAACAGGTTTGATGGGCTAACCTTCCTATATACAGAAATGTGTGCATAAAAGTAACCATAATACAGCAGTGGCAACTTCTGCATAAATGATAGGTGCCCATGACATATAAAACCAACATACCTGCCGCATGTGAAACATTATGGTAAATAATGTCAATAAAATACATAATAAACAAGTACAGTTATATGATGGGTGCACTCTATAGCAGTGTTTTTCAACCTTTTTGTGCAAAGGCACACTTTTTTCATGAAAAAAATCACGAGGCACACCACCATTAGAAAATGTTAAAAAAATTTACCTCTGTGCCTATATTGACTATATATAAAGTAATTCTCTTGAATAGGAATCAAACACAAAGAAATTATTTTATAATTACTTTATTATGAAATAATAAAGTATTTTATAATTGGACCCGGGGGCCGGACCAAGAGTAGATGAATGATTTGTATGTGTCATCCATAGTAAGTATAGTAATATTCCCCCATAGTAAGCATAGTAATTAATCCCCCATATAGTAATTCATCCCCCATAGTAATTCATACCCCATATAGTAATTCATCCCCCATAGTAATTCATCCCCCATATAGTAATTCATCCCCCATATAGTAATTCATCCCCCATAGTAATTCAATCCCCCATATAGTAATTCATCCCCCATAGTAATTCATCCCCCATATAGTAATTCATCCCCCATAGTAATTAAATCCCCCATAGTAATTCATCCCCCATAGTAATTCATCCCCCATAGTAATTAATCCCCCATAGTAATTCATCCCCCATAGTAATTAATCCCCCATATAGTAATTCATCCCCCATAGTAAATTCATCCCCCATAGTAATTCATCCCCCATAGTAGTAATTCATCCCCCATATAGTAATTCACCCCCCATATAGTAATTCATCCCCCATATAGTAATTCATCCCCCATATAGTAATTCATCCCCCATAGTAATTCATCCCCCTATAGTAATTCATCCCCCCTATAGTAATTAATCCCCCATATAGTAATTCATCCCCCATATAGTAATTCATCCCCCCTATCATCCCCCTATAGTAATTCATCCCCCATAGTAATTCATCCCCCATATAGTAATTCATCCCCCATATTAATTCATCCCCCATAGTAATTCATCCCCCATTAAGTTCCCCCCCCATAGCCCCCCCCCATATGTGTGTCAATTCACTTACCTTTGCTCCACGCGTTCCTCTCGCCGTTCCGGTGTAGCATGAAAATCTGTCTCCTATGAGGATCTGTCCCCCTCGACGTATCTGCGCATGTGCCAGTTTCAGGCATTAGCAGCCGATCGGCGATCTCCGGCACATGCGCAGATACGTCGAGGGGGACAGATCATCCTGACAGTATCACTCTCCGCGGGCCGGATTAAAAGGTCCGCCGGGCCGTATACGGCCCGCGGGCCGTAGTTTGCCCATTGCTGTTCTAATGATTGGTCTATTTGTGAGCCGAGGCCACATGTTACGGATGAAATTGCAATTTTTCCCACGGCACACCAGACAATATCTCACGGCACACTAGTGTGCCGCGGCACAGTGGTTGAAAAACGCTGCTCTATAGTATGTTACACATCATATACTTCATTATGAATACGCTGCCATAGTTAAAGATGCCCACATATAGCAAGGATTTTTGGCCACATCAAAGTCACAGGTTTTCTGGTACATTTATTAAGTAATCAGCTTCAGTCCAGAGATTTACCCAGCAAGTCCTCATTTTTGCTGAGAGATGTGCTCAGTCTGCATCATTCAATACACTTTATATGAGCCCAGTTTGTCCTGGACCCAACCAAGCTTGTGACTGGACAGTGAATGGAGAAACAGCTTTCTCATCTTATCAGCATGTCTCATGTCATTACATGAACTGACTGGTTCTTTGTACTGCTTCTTTCTTTCGCACTCTAGCTGTGCTGTATGGGAGCTGTAAGAGGCTTGTAAAAGCTCAAACTCAAGATACTTACATAGCTGGCATTTAAAAATACATTTGATGATTGATGATGTATTAATGATCTGCAATTGTGTATTTTATATCTGCTTAGAGTTCAGCTGTAGCATTTCTTTTACCTTAAATGTGGGTAGGCGGATTGTCTTTAACATGTAAAGACAAAAAGCTATGCCAAGAATATCCTGGAGAATCCAAGCCCACCTAAAAGATAAAATACTTCACTATTATATATCCTTAAATGGCTTTTATAATATAATTTTTTAGTGGTGCGCATTAATACTTACTGATCTTCATTTCGATATACTCCCCATAATACACTGACAGCAATGCAGAATGACGCCAACAGGAGTTTCCACAGAGGTGGTCGATTGTGAAAGTATGGAAGGTTATTGTCTGGAATTCTGATAAGGAATGTATAAATGTATTGCAGGTTATTGTCTGGAATTCTAATAACGAATGTGTAAAGACATTTTAATGATAAAAATGACAAATGTACATTAAAAATTAACGCAGAAACAATTTTATACTAAATTAAACTAAAATGTCTACTTTATATCTTATCTAGTACACTTGAGAATTTATTTCTTTGGCATTTTCTTAGTAACCTTTATACTTCTGCATAGTCATGATATAAACCCTGTCCAGTTCTGATGTATTAAAAGGACAAAACAAAGAAGGGAATTAAGGAAAGTGTCTTGTCAATGAATAAATTACATTTGCATGTAAGCATAAAATGTATTAATGGAGAAGTACAATCAAAGCTCTTTTGGCTGTACTTTTCCTATGGATCATAGGAGTGCAGTTCGTTCTGCACTCCTGTGAACAGTTTTCAGCTGTCAGCACACAGCCAGTCCAGGCTGGGGAAGGAACATGACCATATGGTTAGGATCCACCCCAGTGTCTGGAGCGGCACCTAACTCAACCTCTCAGCAAGCCACTGAGATCCTGAGCCAGCCGCTCCCTCCCCCTCCACAGTCCAGCGCTCCAATGAGCGCTGGGATGGGCAGAGTAGACAGCGGTGACTGACAGTCATTGCTCTCTGCTCACAGTCATGTGATCGCGTTTTCACCCTTAGAGCCTGCGGGGGACAGATACAGCAGCGGACCGAAGCTGCATCCACCAAAGTAAGTATGATTTTTAAAAATTTCCCATACTTCTCTTTTAAGTTGTGGATCTTTTCAGCTAGAAACAAACATATGACATCAAGGAAAAAAGAACAAAACTACAAATGCAAGACAGATTTGGCCACAACTAAGACACAGCAGGAGTGGGAAAACATGTGGGCAGTTATTGCCAAATGATCCATTACAGTTTCAACTCTCAAGTCTTCCTATAAAGTAATGATGCATTAGTACCTACAAGAATTTCCCACATAATCCGCTCCAGCCCTGAAGTTTGCTGCTTGCACCACATGACATATTTGTTGAAACTATGTACAAATAACTCATTTCAGGTCCAGGGTCTATGGTCTTCCCCATAGTCTATTCAATATATTTTTGCAAAAAGACCCAGGGATGGCATTTTTGTATCTCACATCTTTATTATCCCCAAGCAAACAGGAGCAAAAGTTTCGAAAAAGACAACTGCACTTTTCATAAAGCATAATGAAAAGCTAACCTGCATTCTGAGTGACACTCGCACAAATTTTTCATGCACATGGCAACCTTGGACAAATTAGGTCCAAACATTCCAGAACTGGAAACAGGACTGAAGCCTGCTGTCAGGTGACGTCACCTCAGCTGGTCCAGGTTGGGGAAAGATCCTGACTTTAAAGTCAGGACTAACCCAGAGTCTGGGAATGGCACCTGGCTCAGCCTCTTAGTGAACCGCTGAGAGCCTGAGCTAGCCTCCCCCAGCCCAGCGCTCCATCGAGCGTGGGGGGGTGATGGGAGAGCAGACAGTGGTGCTCAGAGCGGCTGTGAGAACTCAGCAGTCAGTGGTCATGTGATTGCTGCGTTCTCACCATTAGAGCTAGCAGGAGACAGATGCACCATTGGACCTATGCTGCATCGACCTAGGTATGATTTAAAATAAAAAAAAAAAACCTAAATCCCATACTTCTCTTTTAAGTACAGCACAGTACAGATAAAACACAAAAGTTTATTTTTTCTAGTTTCTTACCTGCACTTTCCATATGGGATTCTGCGGACGAATGGGAAAAGACAACTGTATAGACCGATGGATGCAGCCAAACAGAATATTGCAATGATTACATAAACTGCAAAGAAAAAAAAAAAAAAAAGTGATGCGTATTCACTTTTTACTACACGTCTCTCAAACAATCATTGTAAAATACTTCTGGAGCTAAGCAACGTGTGATGGCCTATCCTCAGCTAGCCTTATGTATCCTTAAATGATCGACCATAGATTCAGATCAGATTATACAGCCCAACAAATCAAAAAACTTTACCGTATTTTTCGCTCCATAAGACAAACTTTTTTCCCCCCCAAAAAGGGGGGAAAATGTCAGTGCGTCTTCTGGAGCGAATATAAAGCGGCTGGTCCGGTATTTCTGCCACCACCATGTCAGAATACCGGGCTGGCCGCTCAGCTGTTCTCTGCGGCAGGAACTCACCTGTTCCTCGGTCCAGCGCTGTAGTCTTCCCGCGCCGGCTTCTTCCCGCCCCGGCATCTGTGACAGCCGGGTGCCCACTGCGCATGCGCGAGAAGCGCTGCGCTTTGTGAATGGTCCGGTGTCTTCTGGGATACATGACAGGTCCCAAAAGACGCCGGGCCATTCACAATGCGCAGCGGGCACCCGGCTGTCACAGTATAGGAAGGAGAACTCCGCGGAGTTCCAATTCAGGTACCCGCTCCCCCTCCCTCCCTAAAGGTCCGCAGTCTCTGGTCATCCCCTGTACTGTCCGCAGTCTCTGGGCAGACCCCTGTACTGTCCGCAGTCTCTGGGCAGACCCCTGTACTGTGTCCACAGTCTCTGGTCATCCCCCTGTACTGTGTCCACAGTCTCTGGTCATCCCCTGTACTGTGTCCACAGTCTCTGGTCATCCCCTGTACTGTGTCCACAGTCTCTGGTCATCCCCCCTGTACTGTGTCCACAGTCTCTGGTCATCCCCTGTACTGTGTCCACAGTCTCTGGTCATCCCTGTACTGTGTCCACAGTCTCTGGTCATCCCCTGTACTGTGTCCACAGTCTCTGGTCATCCCCTGTACTGTGTCCACAGTCTCTGGTCATCCCCTGTACTGTGTCCACAGTCTCTGGTCATCCCCTGTACTGTGTCCACAGTCTCTGGTCATCCCCTGTACTGTGTCCACAGTCTCTGGTCATCCCCTGTACTGTGTCCACAGTCTCTGGTCATCCCCTGTACTGTGTCCACAGTCTCTGGTCATCCCTGTACTGTGTCCACAGTCTCTGGTCATCTCCTGTACTGTGTCCACAGTCTCTGGTCATCTCCTGTACTGTGTCCACAGTCTCTGGTCATCTCCTGTACTGTGTCCACAGTCTCTGGTCATCTCCTGTACTGTGTCCACAGTCTCTGGTCATCTCCTGTACTGTGTCCACAGTCTCTGGTCATCTCCTGTACTATGTCCGCAGTCTCTGGTCATCTCCTGTACTATGTCCGCAGTCAGTCTCTGGTCATCTCCTGTACTGTGTCCGCAGTCTCTGGTCATCCGCTGTACTATGTCCGCAGTCTCTGGTCATCTCCTGTACTATGTCCGCAGTTTCTGGTCATCTCCTGTACTATGTCCGCAGTCTCTGGTCATCTCCTGTACTATGACCGCAGTCTCTGGTCATCTCCTGTACTATGACCGCAGTCTCTGGTCATCTCCTGTACTATGTCTGCAGTCTCTGGTCATCTCCTGTACTATGACCGCAGTCTCTGGTCATCTCCTGTACTGTGTCCGCAGTCTCTGGTCCATCTCCTGTACTGTGTCCGCAGTCTCTGGTCCTTCTCCTGTACTGTGTCCACAGTCTTTGGTCATCTCTTGTACTGTCTGCAGTCTCTGGTCATCTCCTGTACTGTGTCCGCAGTCTCTGGTCCATCTCCTGTACTGTGTCCGCAGTCTCTGGTCCTTCTCCTGTACTGTGTCCACAGTCTTTGGTCATCTCTTGTACTGTCTGCAGTCTCTGGTCATCTCCTGTACTGTGTCCCCAGTGTCTGGTCACTTCCTGTACTATGTCTGCAGTCCATTGGTTCAGAATATTTTTTTTCTTGTTTTTCTCCTCTAAAACCTAGGCGTGTCTTATGGTCAGGTGCATCTTATGGAGCGAAAAATACAGTATATAATTTTTGCTAAATGTGAATTGATCCTTTGCCAAGACCATCTGTGGCTTTGTGAAAACAACTATTCATGGATTCACACTGAATCATCCTTTTTTGCAATCAGTTTCTGAAAGGTATGCATTTCTGTAGAAAGGAAGAGTATACAGTCTCATTGTTATGCATATGGCTATAATAAAGGACTTTGTGTTCTGTATGAGCTAGCTAATGGTAAAACATCTACCAACTATGCATCCAGTAAAATAAAATGAAGTTCCTGGGAGCTGATTTTTAAGGACACTTTCTCAGTAGGAAGACTGGCTTATACAGGGGGACATCACACTGCCACAGGACGATAACACACCCAGCTTTAATCCAGGGATGCAAAAACAACGGTGTGCTACTTGAAGATTTCAGAAAGTGAGCCCTCCTTTTATGTAGTAAGTGGTAAAATGCCATGAATCTTTCCACCACCAGACCAATTCTCCCATTTTTCACACACATGCTACAAGGGCACATTATTTCTGTGAAAATTTACTAAAGACCCCCAAACTATATATTTATTTTTTTAAATAAAATAAACATTTAAAAGGATAAGATTTTTTCTTTACAAAAAATAATAAATGCACATTTTTTTTTTTTGCAGGTATAAAATGTACGTTAATTTTGTTTGTTTCTGGAATCTCTACTGACCGCTCTGCTGATCGCATTGCACCAGTGATCAGCAGAGCGGTCAGTATATCTGCCTGCCCATACGGGATGTACAGGCAAGCAGATATACTGATAGAAATATTCAATGAACTAGCATGGTGCTCCACAGCGCTGTGGTAGTTCATTGAGAACTACAAGACGGTAGAGAACACAGTGATGAATGACGTAGCCAGGCAGCCTCTAGCTGTCACACGAGGGTGTTGGGTGTAACAGGGGCCGGTCCGATTGTAACTTGTTACATGTTGCACCCTGAATATGGGTGTAACATGTTACGAAAGGATACCTTATCCTTTAATAAGAGGACAACAAAGAAAAAGCACTGGTGTAAGAAGGCTCTCATAGGATCAGGCATCTGGTTTGAACGGGGTACAAGTTTAAGAGACCAAGACACTGCTGGGTCATCAGGAATAATGTTGATTGGACAGGTATACCTTTTTCAAATGCTACCATTTTTTTATTTTGATAAGCTGGTGCTAAGTGGGTATCTGTAGCCAGTTTCTCCTACTACTCACAAGCCTATGAATGGTCACTCATGCTATGCATAACCAGGCCACTCCCTAGAACCTATGGCTAATTTAAAACCAGCTTTATTAAATGACACTAAAATCATCTCAGGTAGCAGAAATTTTTGTATGCACAAATGAATGTGCACTGCAAAAAATGTACACTGTGAAATAGAGTCGTACAGTTTTGTACTGGGCTTGTTCTTCCTAACTAACATCTAATGTGAGGTTTGTGTAGGGCATGTATAATTTGGTAACCATGAAAAGAACAAGCAGGAAAAATATCCAGCCACTGTTTCTTCACCTAAGCGATCATAGAATTGGTAGAGAAGAATCAACATTGAGCAGCACATAACCACAAACACGCAGATCATGACAGGAGTAACATCCACAGTCTCATCATCATGTTTCTTATCAGATCCATCATCCCTCTTATGCTTCATGTACCGCCTGCAAATAAGAGAAAGAAAAACAATCTTTACTCTGACCATGTTTACTTATAAACAGATTTAATTGTTTTTTTCTTATTTCAATGTAGAAAAAGGTTTCAAAAGAAATGACATGTCACGAAGATTCTCAAAATGAAAAACTAGGCCTAAACTATATGGGTGACTTTGATCTGCGTGATATAACTTCTTGCTTCCAACCACCTCATTTCTAACGTATCTATGTCAATCTGTTGCAAATGAGGTGGTATCACAGGCAAGAAAGGGGGAACACTGCCTATAATCCCCTATCAAACAGAAATAATATGTAAATTATGACAAAATAGAACTACATTTTATAGCAATTTTGAAACACTCACTGTAAATCCTAAAATTATTTTTTATTATGTTTGGCATCTTGTCTAAATGTACACAATTTGCTCAAACAGAATATTTAATGTGAATCTTTTGCAAAGTTTCCCAAACTGGAGATCCTGCCAGTAGCATCCCTTAACCACTTGCCTACCAGGCACTTATACCCCCTTCTTTACCAGGCCAATTTTCAGCTTTCAATGCTTTCGCACTTTGATTGACAATTGCGCGGTCATGCAAGATTGTACCCATATGAAATTTTTATCACTTTTTTCTCACAAACAGAGCTTTCTTTTGGTGGTATCTAATCGCCGCTGGGCACTTTACTTTTTGCGCTATAAACAAAAAAATTTGCAAACAATTTGAAAAAAAAAATGTTTTTATCATAAAATTTTTCAAACAGGTAATTTTTCTCCTTCACTGATGTGCGTTGATGAGGCAGCACTAATGGGCACTAATAGGCGGCACTGATGGGCACTGATAGGCAGCACTAATGAGAGGTGGCACAGATAGGCAGCACTGATAGGTGGCACTGACTGGCATCACTGCTAGGCATTGACTGGCGCAACTGCTGGCACTGACTGGCAGCACTGCTGGGCTGCACTGATGGGCACTGGTGGGTGGCACTGGTAGGCACAGGTGGGTGGGCACAGGTGGGTGGCACTGGTGGGCACAGGTGGGTGGGCACAGGTGGGTGGCACTGCTGGGCACAGGTAGGTGGCACTGCTGGGTGGCACAGGTGGGTGCACTGCTGGGTGGCACAGGTGGGCGCACTGCTGGGCACAGGTGGGTGGAACTGGTGGGTGGTACTGCTGGGCACCGATCATCAGGGCACTGATCATCAGTGCCCTGATGATCCGTGCCGGTCCCTGCTCTGACAACTGCCGGTTCTCGGCAGTACTTTCCTCACGCGAAAGTGCAGCCGAGAACCGGCAATTGCATTTCCCGTGATCAGCGTGTCATTGGACACGGCTGATCAGGTGGTAAAAGGCCACTGTGATTGGCCTTTTACCACATCACGTGATCAGCTGTGTCCGTAGGACACAGCGATCACGGAGATCGCCGGGGGCGTGCAGGAGAGCGCGTTCTGGGAGGACGCCATAGGACGCCCTCCCAGAACAGGCCGGCCGTAGTGTAGCCATCATTCGGCTATCTGCGGTTGGCAAGTGGTTAATGTTGCAGTGTGATAAAGTTAAACAACTCCACTGTCCTGTGCACATGGCACCTCTAAATTTCTTACATGATCAATGGGTAGTTTTTGCACTTTTTGATAACTGCGTGGGACCATCTCCAAAACTGCAGCTCTTGAGGGATGTTCCCAGTCTACAGTGGTCAGGACTGACCAAAAGTGTCCAAGAAAGGAAAACGGGTGAACCACAACAAGGTCATGAGCAACCAGGCTCACTGATGCACATGGGGAGCAAAGGCTGGCCTATGTACTCTAATCCAACAGAAGAGCTACTGGAGCTCAAAATGCTGAAAACGTTAATGCTGCTTCCGATAGAAATGTTTCAGAACACAGTGCATTGCAGTTTGTTGTATATCGGGCTGCATAGCTGCAGACCTGCCATGCTGGTGACACATATCCACAGCCAAAAGTGCCCTACAATGGACCACAGAGCAATGGAAGAAGGCAACCAAGTCTGATGTATCACATTTTTTCTTTTACATCATGTGAGTGTGCAGCGCTTACCTGGGGAAGAGATGGAAACGGGATGCACTGGGAAGAAGGCAAGGCAGCGGAGGCAGTGTGATGCTTTGTCTAGTGGAGATCATGCCTCAATAAGTCAGGGCTGCTTTGGCAGCAAAAAGGGGACCTATTTAATATTAAGTGGGTGATCATAATGTTATGGTGGGCGGGCATAATGTTATGGCTTGTTGGTCATAACCACCTAATCTGTAAATCAGCTTACAAATATATGTTAAAGCTGTTGGGGTTGCCCATTTATAACTTCGGTGCAGCCTGGACACCGGTAAAAGACAGTATCAATAGAGAAGGAAAAGTTCTTTCTGCATATTGTAACATTCTCACTTTTTGTAATAAGTACAGTCGTAACAATTTATTCTGTATTCCACCACAGCATAAACATGTTTGTGTAATAACAAATGAAACAATAAACATAATGTTAGTTCAAATGCCTAATTTAAAAAAACAATACATTTCTATTCTAAACATAACACTTAATATAAACTTACTTTTTAACATCTCTGCTACCTGCCCAATAGCCACCAGTGGCTACAGTTCCTACAGCCATCACGAAAATTATAACCATGTTGTAATCAAGAACAGGCTCATTTGGTGCATACATGGCCACTTTCACTGAAGGACCGAATGTCTAGCAAAAAAAAGATGAGAGTGAGGTCAGCTAAAAATTAAAGAAGCAACCTACATTTCTTAAAAGAGAGGTGCAGGAATATAAGAAAACAAACACATACTCACCTAGATGGATGCAGCATCAATCCGAATTATGCATCTGTCCCCCACTGATTTCAAATGATCAAACACCACTCATCGCTTGGTTCTCAGTCTTCTGTGAGCAAAGAACTGGTGACTGTCAGTCAGTAGCTATCTGCTCTGCCTCTCCAGTGCTCACAGGTCCGCCAGGCTTGGGAGGGGAGCAGGAGTGACTGGCTCAGGCTCTCAGCAGCACCCCAAGAGGCTGAGCCAGCTGCTGGTCCAGGCATCTGGGTGGATCCCGACATTAAAGTCTAGTTCACCGGATGATTCTTGAGGAACGGGGTTTGTTTGGGAGGGGAGGCGCTTGGATATTATTTGGAACTGAGAGACGTGATAAGCCCCAGACATATTGTGTATTTCTTCTTTTGTTTGGGGTGGGAAAGTGCTATCCCAGCTAGTTTTTTTCTTTTTTTTGTTTGCCTGTTTTACTGATGTCATAAAAGCTTTTATGCGACTATGAAACTAAATCACCACATCCTCAACTTTGATATGTGTATATTCCATACAGTGGTTGGATATGTGATAGATATGACATACATCTTGGAATAATGTAATACTCCTATTGCTGGATGGATTTTAATGTATTTTGATATGTCTGCATATTTGGATATATGTATGTTTGCATATGGCAATAAAAAAAGTTTAAAAAAAAAGTCTGGTTCTTTCTAGAGCCTGGATCGGCTCAGTGACATCAGCCGACAGTGGGCTTTAGGTAAAGCAGGGAAGGAAGTGCACTCTTGTGACCCACAGGAGAAGTATAGCCAAAAAAGCTTTGACCCTACTTCTCCTTTAAATAGGTTTTATCGAATTAAACTCAATCATAAACCTTAGAAATAAAAGGTAAAGCATGGTAAGCCAGCAATCTAATAGGTTAGAAATGTATTATTCTACTGAAATATGATTTAAAAAAAATAATTATTTTTGCCCCTTTGATAGTCACTTATTAATTATTATTATAATTTCAGTCTTCAATATTGAATCAGATACACAAGTGATTGTTTGCGGGTGTTTTTACTGCAAATCTTAATTTTAAAAAAGTGTCTTGAAAGTCTATAAAAAGTGGTTGGGAAGGTGAAATGGTTGTGACATTCACAAGGCTTTCAGATGCTAACCAAAAGCCAGTAACTGACTGCTAATGATACTTCAGCTTTTCCATGCATCAGCATTTTTCCTTACCTTACTGATATCCAACATATCACTGTAGCTAAGCAGAGCCACTGGAATATCAATTTCTTCATACTGACTACGATTACCGCCAGGAGGGACCTGAAAATAACATTAATACATTCAATACTACACAAAAGGTATTACTAAATGTAATTAATTTCAACATTCTCAGGCTAAAGAAACCATAAAAACTCAATGGTCGTTGTTTTGTAGATGCTTGTGACTTTTTAGGGGCTTGCATATATGGGAATTTATGTCATAACTGCTTTTCTATCTATAAAAAGAACTTGAAATGCAAAAGCAACTCAAAAAGTTAAATATTCCAAGGCTGCTTAATTTACTCTTCATTGCCATCTTTGGACTATTTCTAGCACTACAATTCTGCCACTGTAAACTGCACACCTGTCCCTTATTTAATACCTAAATAGGAAACGCAGTAATTCCAGCCAAGGCCTGATAAACAGATTCTTAGGGCCCTTTCACATGGGTGGACTCCGCCAAGCGGATCCACCTTGCACAGTGAGGGATCTCTCTGCTGATCCCCACTGAGCAGGAGGATGACAGGTCCATGTCCGCTCCACTTGTGCAGAGCGGACACAGACACAGCCTGCTGTTCTCTATCGGGCGCTCGGATGTGAACGGACAGCCTGCCCATTTACATCTGACCCACTACGCTATACGGATGGGGAACGGATCTCCCATCCAACTGTTTTTAATGGACCAGATGCAGACAGGTGTATACAGACATGTCAATTTACATCTTCTTCCCCATAGAGAACAACGGGTGATCCAATCGGGACCACCTAATTGCACTGCATTTAAACTTGCTATCTGCAATCTAACTTCTGTCATCTAACTTCTGTCTGCTCCCCCCTCAACCCATTGCCTGTTTGACTACGCTTCTGTCTTCTGCCTGCTTCGAACTCTGGTTTGTCTGACTAAGTTTCTGCTTCTCAACTTGGTACTCTGTTGGTTGACTGTCATCACTGGATCCCAGAAAAGTGATCCCTGCGACATCAGCAGTGTAACATCCACACTTCAAACAGCTCTTGTAAAGACCTGACACTAGAGGGTTGCAGTCCAGAGGGAGTCTGGCACTGCAGACACAGAGGGGTTTATTTACTAAAGCTGGAGAGTCCAAAATCAGACTCCCTTCTGCATAGAAACCAATCAGCTTCTAACCTCAGCTTGTTCAAAAAAGCTTTGGCAATGAAACCTGGAAGCTGATTGGTTTCTATGCAGAAGGGAGTCTGATTTTGGACTCTCCAGCTTTAGTAAATAAACCCCAGAGCGTTCACTAACTCACAAACAGCATCTTTAAGAAGTGAAGAAGTTCTGAAGCATCTAAGAAAGAACTTCAGAGCATCTTAAATGCAAGCTAAATGCACCTGAAAGCATTTTGTATTTGCCTTACTATACACACTTTAAATATCTTGATCACTGCAATCGTACATAAACCAAATCAAATGCATATGGGACTTTAAATGAAGCATAAAATTGAGTAGATTATATATAAAAGAACAATTTATTAAACGTTACATGACGATCTCGCAGATTAAAACAACAAGCTGGGTAGTTATATCCAACATATAGCAGCCTAGGGTACACATTATATTGATAGAATTAATCCATACATATATTGCCACACAGTCAAATTACTAAAAAAGCATCATAAAAACTTGACATGTTTCATGAAAATTCACTTCTTCAGGAGTAGATGCCACCTGTATAAAATCTTTAAGAAACCAGTTTGATAACAAGATCATTATTGTGGCACCTCCAAATGGTGACCACCACATAGTATCTGCCCCAGGAGTTGTGGAAGGGGTACGGTACCCCCCACCAGGATAACCAAAGAGCGGCACAGGGAGGTATAAAGATGGAATATGAAAACCCAAAGTCCCACCTAATGCCAATCATATGGGAGATCCAGCTGGCCGAATGGCCGTACAACCTTCCAAGATTGAGTGAGGATAAGGGATAGAGGCATAGCATTTAGGCACCAGATCACAGCCTCTATATTTGTTACACACTTTATATTGCAATGCAGCTTGCTGCAGAGCCAGGCAGGACTGGGACAAGGAAGGGGCATGTGCCCCAGACACTGTGTTCAGGGAGATGCATTGACGATCCCTCTCCTCCCTGACAGGACTAACTGTTCCATCACTCCTGTCAGTAGAGCAGCGGCCGAAGCTGCTAGAGGGAAGATTCTGCTCCCCTCCCTTCAGCCTGCAGGGGGCAGATGAGAGCCAGAGCTGTTTCTGAAAACTCACCTCAGTCTCAGCTCAGCTCGGTTTTCCCTCTCTCCCCTTGTCATGTGACATATCACACGACTAGAGAAGGGAAGCAGAAGCCACTTTCAAGCTCTGGATGAGCACTGAATAATTGGAGTCATCTGTAAGTACAAGAAAGGGGGGGTGGTAGGATCAACTCAGCACTAGATCTCCCTTTCACTCCTCCACCCCTTAACCTCCTCCCTCTCTTAGTCTAGGTTCACATTTGTAGGTTACAGGAACCTGAGCAGATTACATGCATTCCCGCAATACACAAAAGCACAGCTCTTTTACAAGTGCGTGGTGGTGCCAATAATTCTTAATAGCACCCTCATGCACCTTTGCTAACATATGCGCTCATTCACCCACACCAAAGCACATGGTAACAAAATACTATGCATTTTGGTGTGGAGCGATTTTATAAAAAGGTGTATGCACTTCTTTTGAGAGTTTTTCACAAATGGGGCAGCCCATTAAAATGAATGGGCTGCCCTGAAAATGCCATGCAAAAATGCACAAGAAAAAAGAGAAGAATGTAATGGGTTTAAACAGCAGTTTTTTAACCACGGACAGAACTAGATTCAGATGTCATAGTCACAGGGCAACTGAAGGAAGGAACTACATAAGAGACTCCATGTACAAAGGTGGTAAGTAAGGAGAGAGAAGCCCACAGGACTCTGAAACATGATAAAAGAGACAAAAACCTGACTCTAATAGCACCGAAAGCAAGATGTTGTACTGGTGCAGACTAGCTGTAAGAAGGTGAGGATTCGTCCAGTGTAGAAACTCCTAGAGTGGAAGCCCTGAGCTTCATAAGTGAAGTATGCCTTCCATGTGTGATGACATACCTTGACAGAAGCAGCCTTCCTATCTTTTAGCATTGTAGAAATTAGAAATCAAAGATAAAGAAATGCCCCAGGGCTGTAATAACCAGGTTCTTAAGCAGAATGGTAAATTGGCCCTTAAAAACAGAATATTCTGACATTCTAGCAAAACTCAAAGAACAACTTGCAGTAATGTTACCATTTTAAGGTACCGCATGTGCCTAGACCATTCTAGTACAATGAGAATCACTCGCCCTTTATCTAAATCCTACAAAGCAGATGAGAAAGAAACTTCAGGAGAGAAAAGACGGATTCCACGGAGTCACCAGAGAATCCACTAGACGATACTTCATAGTAGAAAAATTCTTTCAAATGAAAGAATGAACAGTAGAGGTGAAGAAAACAAGCCCACTCTCCTGAGGACACCAGCAATAAACTGAGTCATTTTGGTTGACATATCCTATACAGACCAACAGTTTTTTATGTTGCCATTGTCCATTTCTTCTGTATACAGGAGTACAACCCAACAATTTAAACATTTCTGTGTTCCTCAATGGACAAGAAAAAATGAAAGATACTTTTCCTTCTGTAAAGCTTAGCAACTTGAGCCTAATCTCTAAACTGCTGGAATTTTATAATGACAAGATGATGCAGAAAGAAATGCTTGTCTGATAGTAACCAGTTCCTTCAAAAACTGATTTTAGCAATGGGGACTACTTGTCTTCCTCATTTCCAACCTGTGTTTAGTTTGGAAGAGATACCTAATTTTTATAAACAAAACATTTAGACTGTTTATTGGCACTGGAAAATGGCAACTACTACAAAGTATGGCTTCAGAAAACTGCGATCATGCAAAAAATCCATAATATTCTTCTACCCACCAGCCGCTCCCGACTAACGATCAGTAGCCCACGTGCTCCATTGATTTGCGCCAGTCGCACCTTCTCATAAAAAGTGCAATTTCCTCTCATTACCATAGGGATACGATTACTGAAGCCGCCATCTGGGACATCCGCAGGGGAACAAAGAACAGATGCGGTCTGATCTTGAAGATGGAGCAAGGCCTAAGTTTAGGACAAAATGAGAACATTTTTAATGAAACTAGTAAAAGAGTGGATTTCTAACATATTGCTCATGCTTTACTGAGTACTAGAGCAAAGGTTATTGTCCCTACCTGCTAAAGGAGTTTCTAATCTCAAGCCCCTAAAATGTTTCCTAGTTGCTGAGTTAAAATACAGTATTGCACATACAAGGCCATCTTTATGAAGAGAATTTTCCTACACAATTATCTGTATCTTCATCAGCTCCACTGTCAGGACATAAGCACCTGAGTTTTTTTTCTTTTATACTCCTTCAAAATCTTCTCCTATCCAATACTGCAAATTCGATCCATGGTGTCAATTAAAAAAAAAAAAAAAAAAAGTGGCACCATATGTTATCTCTTCACCCTACTATTTGTTCCTTTAGGGCTGTGTCAGTGGGCTTTGGGCTGGCATCAATGGCATCAGTTTGAGATGCTTCTCTGATCATGCAGAACTCATTGTCAGGTGCAGTTGACCTCCTCCTGACCTACCATTTGACCTGCTTCAAACAGGTTTAGCAGTCTCATAGACTTATAGAAGGATGCATAACCTGTCTGACGCAAACAAAAGCCCAGAAAAACAGGCCCTTACTCTTTTTCTATTTCCCACAGTACATAGAGCAACACTTGTCCTTAAAGGAGTGTAACTCGTCTTAAGACAGCCATACATTGTTCGAATCTTGGCTGGTTCAGCAGAGTCCAGCTGAGATTTGAACCATCTATGGACAGGCTGAGTTTACCCAAGTCGATCCAGTGATCAACTTGGGTACAACCAGCATGCCGGATTTTTACGTGCAATTATGGCCAGCAGCTACAGTCACTAGCAATAATCACTGTGTTTTCCCGGCAGGGACAGCTTTCCCACACCCCCCGCCTGGGAAACACGATAGCTCTGCAGGTGCAGAAAAAAATCTCATTATCTATGGCCTGCCTTATGCAGGCCATAGACGGTTCGTTTATTGGCCGATTTTTCGTCCAAAAGAATATCAGTGGATTTTCGCACTGTTAGTGGGGCAATGGCATCGGGCGATTTTCCCGATTCCTCCTCATTTCCTTTATCAGTCATGCTGGAAAATTTGCTAAAAAAAAACGGATGATTTTCGCAATCATTGGTGGCAACAGAACGACCGATGTTTCGTTTTTTTTTCGGACGAAAAATCGTCCGATAAACGAACTGTCTATGGCCTGCATTAGAGTTTTAAAGCATTGCAAGACTTCCCTTTACATTTTAGGGTAAATTTGGAGATTCTCATAATTTGTGGATATCTGTAAAGTATTGCTTTTTTGAAAATTACTTTTAAAGCAAAACCTTCAATATGGGATATATTTTTGGGCAAAGCACAGTGGCTTAGTGGGCAGCACAGTGGCTTAGTGGTTAGCACGTCTGCCTTGCAGTAAATGGGTCATGGGTCGATTCCTGACCATGGCGCCTCCTGCATGCAGTTTGCATGTTCTCCCTGTGCTTGTGTGGGTTTCCTCCGGGTGCTCCGGTTTCCTCCCACACTCCAAAGACATGCTGGTAGGTTAATTGGATCCTGTCTAAATTGGCCCTAATATGTGTATGCATGAATGTATGTTAGGGACCTTAGATTGTACACCCCTTGAAGGTTAGGGACTGATGTGAATGTTCAATATATATGTGTAAAGCGCTCCGTAAATTGACATCGCTATATAAGTACCTGAAATAAATAATAAATAAAAACATAGGAGGTTAAGCAATGGATGATCTCGTGTATGATCAATGGCTACAAAAACTAGGCTTTGTTTTTTGTCCTTGAAGAGGATTTCATATCTACAAGGCAGGTCTGTCAATGACCCAGGAGGGTTTTAGTCTTCATATTTGTAATTTCAAACGTGTGTGTTTTTAGTTAGCTACTGACTGCATTTTCAATGCGGAATGCATGTTGTCAGACTCTTACTGCACAACTGATTTTTTTTTTTAGACATACTTTTAGTGCATCTGGATTACTTCACTGCATGAACATGCGTCTAGTATACCAATCAAAAGGCAGATTTAACCACATGTCAGCTAAATCACTCAATACTGAAACTGCATATTTTCTTCCACACATAGTTCTAATGCAAACTGATTAGCAACATTCTGAGAAACATCTATTTTAACTTTCAACTACCGTATGTGGCAAATGATATATGGACTTAGGAGTTATATATGGTTTTATCCCAACATTGCAGATATAAAATTAAAAGTGTGATCCTCACACTGTCTTTAATACCAAAGTAAACACGTCATAAATGTGGAAAATTCAGAGTGAGCATATGGTGAAAACATTGTATAAGCACAGATAAGGATGAGTGAAAATCACATGTCAGCTGATAGTGCTAGATCTACACAACCTCTATGGAAAGACATTCAATAAAGTTGGATAAACAGCTACACAGTTATGGAATGTAAGGAGGTAAGGCGTACTCACAGCTTTGGTCAGGTCGTGAGGCAAATGAGCCCATTCAGAATTAAAAAGAATACAGTAATCTTTGGCACTGCCACCACTTTTCTCTGATGTTACATGAACCATTCCATATTCACACAGTACCTGAAAGAGACCAAAGATACAGCTGAATAGTTTTTCCAATTTTACAAAAGCAAAAACAAATTTATTTCAAAATAACATCCTTATTAGTCATTTATCTAAATAGAAGTATTAAAGCTCAATATTACCAAAAAGGTTTATTTTATAAGATTTGGATGTACTTGGCAAAAGTAAAATACTTCTGCCAAGTGTTTTTTGATCTCTGTGACCCCATTAGAGAGATTTTCCCTCCTTCCTGTTTCGGTGACCCAGCATATAGGTCATATAATGTTGTGCACAGTTTCTATCCTCCCACGTTCTTCATGCACATGTGGTCTCCCACAGTACACTGAAATGCAATTATTTTAGTAAATATAAATTGCTAAATATCTTTTTTCTCATCAGCAGTATATAGCAGTCTTGTGACTTCTATCAGTGTCTAGCTGAGCACTGGTTAATCTTGTAGGAGGAGTTTTCATTCTGCTCTGACTGTCCTATGAGGCTGCATAACCCCTGACCCTCCATCTGGACAGCATTGACTGGCCATGTGCTGATCACATGCACCCACCCAAAGAAAAAAAAACCCTCTACAGATACACAACAAACTGAGCATGTGCAGAGTGATTCCTAGGACTCTGTACTATCAGCAGATGGATTGGGGACAGTAGAAGAAGGGAAGGATCAGAGAAGACAGGATCAAGCAGCCTTTTTATACAATGCGGAGGATTAACCCCTTAGGTTCCACAGTGAGTATAACAAGCATGCAAGTATATAAACACGGATTTTACTGTTGTGGGTTTAGTAACAATTTAAGTTCTGTAAGTTGCGAAGAGGGGGCTCCATTGATCGGACAATTTTTTCTAGCACATCCGAAAGATGCTTGATTGGACTGAGATCTGAGGAATTTGGAGGACAAGTCAATACCTCAAAGTTGTTGTGTTCCTCAAACTATTCGTGAAAATTTTTGCAATGTGGCAAGGCTGAAAGAGGTCACTGCCATCGAAGAATAATGTTTCCATGAAGGGGTGTACTTGGTCAGCAATGATGTTTAGGTAGGTGGTATGTGTCAGAAAATTAGTAAGGAATCCACTGTTATGTTTGATTTTTTTATGTATTTTATGTTATGCAGATGGAAACAGAAGGTGCTGGAACATGCAAAGGTTGGTCTCACTAAGAATTATTGCAGAAAGATTATCCAAAACATGTAACAACACAGGGGGGCACACTCAGCACATCAATTTATACACTGCTCAAAAAAATTAAAGGAAAACTTTGAAAACACATCAGATCTCAAAATATCATGCTGGATATCTATACTGATATGGACTGGGTAAAGTGTTGGGAACGTAAAGATGCCCCATCGTTTGTAAATCACCTCGTTTAATGGAAATGAAAATTATCAACCTACAGAGGACTGAATTAAAAGACACCCTGGAAATCAAAGTGAAATAATGATGCAGCAGGCAATCCATTTTGCTGAAATGTCATTGCAGCAACTCAAAATGGTACTCAGTAGTTGTATGGCCCCCACGTGCTTGTATGCATGCCTGACAACATCAGGGCATACTCCTAATGAGATGATGGATGGCGTCCTGGGGTATTTCCTCCAGATCTGGACCACGGCATCACTGAGCTCCTGGACAGTATGAGGTGCAACCTGGTGGTGTAGGATGGACCGAAACATGATATCCTTATTGGATTTAGGTCAGGTGAGTATTCCTTCATCCTCCAGGAACAGCCTGCATACTCTCTGAATATACATTACTTAACATCTATTGTCTGAATAAAAATCCAGTAACATTCCTGGAGGGTACGTTAAGAAAAATCTCTGAACATAAAAGGGGTAATCTGATTGTGGCAGATTTTAATTTGTGTCCTAGATCAAAATTTGGATGCGTCACCTAAAACGTCGAGAGAAGGTAGTAGGTAATAAAAACATTGAAGAAATTACTACATCAAGTTCAATTGACCGACTCTTGGGAGAGTAAAACATCCAAGAGAAAGAGACTACACCTTCTCACCAGTACATGGAACATACTCAAGACTGGATTATATTTTGATTGAACATAGACAACTGGAGTTGCTGATTAGCTCCAATATAGAGGTCATGTCTATCTCTGATCATGCTCCTGTCACCACGAGACTTTGGATCCGAGTGGAGTAGGACAAAATAACTACTTGCAGCATCAAATTAAATGCTTATACAAGATCCTGAAATAGAAAGAAAGATTAGAAAGGAAATTTAGCAATTTTTTTTGAGTTTAACGAGACCAAGGAGGCCCATAAGGCATATATCACAGGAATATTGATAGCGATAGGAGCCAAAAAAAAAGAAAGAACGGGGGGAAAATATAAAGAGGGTGATGGAGGAGCTATATAAGTTAAAACAGTTACATAAAAAAAATAAAATAAAAGAAGTTTGGACATATACAGTATCAGAAGATAATCCTTAAAAGAGAAGAACTAAAAGATCTTACGGAACAGGAGTTGAGGAAGATATTTAATAGGGTATCAAAAGAGAGAGATCAGTGGAGGAATAAACCTGGAAAACTTTTAATGAGGTTAAAGGAAAAGAAATCCAAAAACTTTATAGATAAGATTCAAAATGGTAAAGGAGAACTGGTATATTCCACTACTGATATCGCTAACAGGTTTCAAGAATATTATAGTAGGCTTTATGATGTGAGCCCGAGAAAGCAAAAAGAAATAGAGGACGATATGAAGAGAAAAAGGCAGAAATATTTAAAGAAGATAGAGTTGCCAAAATTAGCAGAAGAAAAACTAGAGGCCGTAGGAAATTAATTTGGCCTTAAAGAACACGACCTCAGGAAAGAGCCCTGGTTCGGATGGATACCCTGTGGGTCATTTTAAAAAATGTAGCAATCTTTTGATCCCCAAAATGTGTGGCTATATGAATGCAGTAGGAGAAGGGATGCAAATGAGGGAGGAATCATTGCAAGCACATATAACTATTATACTCAAAGAAGGCAAAGATAGCTCACAGTGTGCTAGCTACAGACCCATATCTCTATTAAAAGTTGATACAAAATTGTTTGCTAAGGTGTTGGCAATTAGACTGAAGGAGCTGATGCCGCACTGGATACACCCAGATCAGGTAGGATTTATTCAGGGAAGAGAGGGGCGGGACAATGGTCTGAGATCACTGTTCCTCTTACAAAGAGTAAATAGAGAGAAACTGCTGACAATATTTCTATCAATCGATGCCGAGAAAGCTTTGACAGGGTCAGTTGGGGATTTATGTTTGATACGTTAGAAATCTTTGGATTAGGGCCCAAAATGTTAAAGTGGATAAGAGGGTTTTACAATGGACCGACAGCGGCAGTCAAGGATCCCTTTCCCAGTCTTTTAAAATGCATAACGGTATCAGACAGGGATGCCTGCTATCTCAATTGTTATTTATACTGTCACTGGAACCTGTCTTGGCAAGGGTAAAATGGTGTGTAGATATAGTGGGAATAAAGGTAGGGAAAGTGGAGCATAAGGTGGCAGCATATGCAGATATGTTATTTTATATAGTAAATCCTAGAATAACGATGCCTAATTTAATGAGACTATTAAAACAATATGGCGAACTGTCAAATCTGAAAATAAACCCTGCAAAGTCATAGATCTTAAATGTTAACATTCCAAAGCAAGATAAATTGAGTCTTCAAAAAGAATTCACATTTACGTGGAAGGAAAAGGAAATGGGTTGCCTGGGAATAAAATTAACTTCTTCAATGAAAAGTATATACCAGGCAAATTTTATCCACATAATTAATGAAATAAAGAGAGTGAGTTGGGGAGACTTTCAAAACGAGGAGCTTCTTGGATAGGTCATATAAATTTGGTAAAGACAGGGATAGTCCAAAGATTCTTTATAAGTTTCACATGCTCCCAATAAACCTGCCAGGGTCCTTCTTCGGGGTAATAAAGAAGCTGATACTCAGATTCATATGGGCAAACCGAGAATAAGTTATGTTGTATTGTGTAAGGTAAAAAAAAATGGGGGACTGGGGTTGCCTAATTTCAGGAAATATTACTTAGCAGTGTTATTATCATGAATAGTAGACTGGACATTTAATTCACAAGGGAAGGGAAATATGGAAGGGTAAATATGGAGGGAACACTAAGTAAAGCTAGGGAAGATTATATGGATACCACACAAATTCCGTACATTAGATGAGAATACTAGTTCTTTAACAAAAAAAAGTGTTAGGTGTGTGGGATGGAATTTATAAGCAGAAAGAATGGAAATATAACTCCAGTTTGACTCCTTTAGTGGATACGGAGTACTTTCCTCCTGGGAAGGATACAATTTCTGGCAAATGGATTAAAGATAAAAATGCACGTTTGAAGGATATTTTGCACAAAGGGAAGTTACACACTTACCGAGAGTTAAAGAGAAGAAAAAAATGATGTATTTTTTACATTAGCTGAGTGGCAATATGGACAATTAGGACATTTTGTTTCATCGCTCCCTCAACCACTAGGGACCTCGGAGAATATGCACCCATTTGAAAAACTGTTGAATGTTAATTCAGTTTCCAAGCAAGCCACTTCCAGGATATAGAAGATCCTGATAGATATGGAGGGGACTGATCCTCCTGGGAACTTGGAAAAATGGGAAAAGGAGTTTGGAACAGTGGGGGCTGTGGGAAAAAAAAAAAAGAGTACAATGGCACATATATGGTGGGATTGCCTGAAAATACAGGAATTTTGGAAATAAATAATTAATTGTACCCAGAAATCAGTGGGATTACTATACAAATGGACCCGTGGGCATGTCTATTTTATTTAGAGCCTGCAGGCAAACGGTATGAAAACAGGATATCATTTGATCAGGCTGGCTAAGGGCTTGATTCCGAAGTTCTGGCGAGCTCTGGAGCCACCAAGAATAAATGGTTGGCTAAACAGAGTGGAAAATATTTTTAGGATGCAGGAGCTATGTCATATGGAGGAAGATAAAATGGAGGATTTTAAGAAGATATGGAGTAGTTGGGTTGGACTTTAAAACATCGAGA